CTAAATACAATTCTTTTTACTAGAAACAAATGTTATTGAATATTGTATCGTGAATTTTCTTTTTCATTTTTCTGGTAATCACATCAATCTGTTTCATTTTCTCCAATGTCTGGCCAGCGACAATATGGAGGTGCAATCTTTGAAGGGACTGGAAGACAACATTGTAAGAGAACCTCAAATGATGGCGTATGTCCAATTCACATACCAACCGTGATATAAAGGTTTCAAGCTCTTAAGCAAAAACGTTGAGAATTTTTCCAATTACTTCTTAAAACCCAAAGCTAAAAACAAGTGCTTTAAAGTTAAGGACAAACAGAAAAGCATACGTGAGTTAGAGCAGTAAAATCTAAGCCCAAGGCTTTGCGACACTTCAAAGTCGACCCTGTCTTAAAAATTGTTGAAAGTTTTTATAAGCATGCTGAATCTATGTGTACCGGTGCCATTTAAACCTAATTTGTATGAGCAAGAATTATGGATATCCTCTTTTTTTCTATTGAAAATTGATTGTCAGGGTAAGGATTGCAGAATTCCGATGTGAAAGGGTCGCTTATCGAATGATGTTAACAATTCCTTAATGGAAAATCCTAACATTCTCAAGCAGAAACTTTTAAGAAAAATATCAAAACGATGAAGACAAAATCTTGAAATTAATCATTTCAAGAAACTGTTGACGGGGATTAAAACGTTTTCTAGGTTTATCAGTTGGAGCTCCTTGACTCATAAGATATTCATATTAAATAAATTAAATAATGTTAAACAAAAAAAAGACTAAAGAAAAAAGAAAAAGCCCTAAAAATTCCTTGAGGCGTTTTAAAAATTCCATCTTAAGGTAGAACCTTTCCTAAATGAAATTAAATAAAATCTAAGGTCTAGGTTATCAGGGTGCAAAGATTTAATGACAATTTGGTCATCAAATCTTCTCTAATATGTGATTGTTAAAAACGTGAGAAAAATAATTAAACGTGAATCAGGAATTTGATAAAGAAACTTAATAAAACGTGCAAAAAGTTCTATTACGTTGTTAACATATAATTATATTACAATGTTCAATCAAATCTCATAACATTTGTGATAATATTAATAAATATTTCACCTTTTTAGACGCGAGGATTATTAGTCATTTCCGCCAATTTTCTTGCAAAATATTATGCAATTTTCTACTTTGCATTTAAGAATAAAACCAATCAATCATTTCTGATTTTTGCGCATTTAGCCATGAAATTGTATAATGCAAAATGATAGATTAGATTTTTTGTATTTTTAGTGAATTCTTTTGAAATCCCGTAGTTAAACGTAGGTTTGTCTATCCGCAGGGCTCAAACAGATTAGTGGGTGCCGTAGGCTAAAATTTAGGTATACTATCATCGACGTTAGTTATAGACATATTATTTCAAATTCTGCAAAAACGTTAATCACATTTTCCTAAACAAGAATGGTATTGTTTACAGGGTGTAGAAGAAAAATATCGAAATTAGAAAATACATGTTTTTGTGTTAATTGTTAATGTTCAATAAAGTAGTCATCTATGGTTGTCTGTCCGTCTGTTTGTAAAGAACCCATATCATTTTGGATTATCTCCAGCTTGAATGCCAAAATACTCACAGAAAACTCGAAAATCCTGTTTTTTCTGCAAGAAAATTTGTATATGAGCCCTATAGAATTTTTAAACTGAATCATTTTTTTTCTGATTAATCTTTAAATGTCAATTTAGAGCTATAAACGAGATCTAGATGCGGGACACCCTGAATGTCAGATCATAACTCATCAACCCTTGGACCGATTTGACTCAAATTTTGATTCTTGGACCAGTGGACTGTTCATAACTTGGTTTCAAGGCAAAGTTGATAAGACATGTAAGGATTTTTGCATTTATGGATATAGATGTATGAAGAATTGATCAACAACTATTTAAAGATGTATTGTAGCGTATTTACGAATGCTTTACGAATCTACAGGATACAATTTTTTCTGCAAAAATTATAAGTAAACCACCTTGGGAACCCAGCGCTTCCATGGTTACAAAAAGTACCTCCCGCCGTTTACCCGCACTTGAACAATTTTACCGGGAAACTAAATTTTCGGTTTTAAAGTCGACCCACTCATTTTATAATCTTAAAACAAATCTAAAAACATTGCCGATGGTCTCCCGAGTTCACCAATAAAAATATTAGGCAAATCGGTCTACGGGTTCCTGAGTTATGATCGTGCAAACAAACAGACAGACGCCCAAACAGAGATAACAACTTTATATATAAAAAACAACNCAATCCACCCATCTCAACCTTTTCCCCGCATTTACTATATCCCGGAGAAAGTTTTGGTATTGTACCCTGCTCCCCTGGGAGATCTCCCAGGGGATCCCAAGGAGGGAGCAGCCTCTGAACACAGATTATATAGATACAGGAACACAAATAAAACTCTACAATATAGGAAGACGACTTTTAGAATTCAAATTTATGAATCATTAGTAGAAGTGCCCTGCGTTGTCCGTGGAATTAAAAAAAATGTTCTAAAAAAATTTGACCCTCAGGGTACCCATGGGTTTCCTAAAAAAATTTTGCCAATTTGGAGAGGCCGTTTGGCCAGCTATGGCTAACACATAAATATACAAATATCAGCGAAGAGCTTTATTATAAAAATATTCCAATAAACATGAAATATAGGAATATGGTTGTTTACTAAGGCAGTTCAGTTTCACTAAACTGCTTGTAAAGTTATTTGCTTTATAACCACATATAAAGAATTAGGAGAATGGCGTCGTCATATTCTACCGTTTTATGGGTATCTCTGAATCTATTGGTAGCTAGTTAGTGGTCTGCATGCCATTTATGTAATTTAAAACACATTTTTTATTTCATTAAATGAATGTAACCAAAACTATCTAATTTTGAATAACTTTTATCATTTTTACAACGACGGCTATCCACCATTTTGGACCCTTTAAAATATAGTAATTACTGCCACTGGTAGTCACAATCACATTATTTACTGCCACTGGTAGTCACAATCACATTTATATACTGTCACTGAGTCACAATCACATTTATATACTGCCACTGGTAGTCACAATCACATTTATATACTGCTACTGGTAGTCACTATCACATTTATATACTGCTACTGGTAGTCACTATCACATTTATATACTGCAACTGGTAGTCACAATCACATTTATATACTGCTACTGGTAGTCACTATCACATTTTCTCCAATTTATCCCAGATTCAATGTTAATAATCGAAGACGACTTTTAATGTCGTCCCTAAATTCCAATGTTTAAAGGTACAACCTTTACAATTACAAAATTGGAAAATTTCTCTTGTTCAATCTCTGTTATCTGTGCTCCATGGTTCATCTTATATTTTATTCATTGCTTTGTTACACTTCACAGAATATTTATATTTATTTTAAAAACAATTATTGTTCTAATGGAATAATTTTCCACTCTTTTCTTTTTCACAATAATTCCTCGTTTTCTGAAATAAAGGCCCTTTCCATCTTTTCTTTGCAAAATTAGTAAATAAGTCATATAAAGACCACATTCAAGGAAGAACACTTAATTTAAACTTAAAATCGTAAAATTTAGAGTTTCAAGTCGTCTTTACAGTCTCATCCTTTGTAGGTAACCATGTATGTAATGGGAGGGGGGGGGGGATCTTAGATTTAGGGAATGAGAATAACACAAATCATGAAAATATATATTTTTTAAAAGAAGAATAAAATAATTCTAAATTTCTTTTAAAATGAATTAAAACTTTAAGAACAGAAATAATTAAGTTTTAAACATATCAAGTTAAAAGAGTTTAAGAGACCCCCCTGACTAGAAGAATGAGTGGAGAATAAGCCCTGCTGTCCAATATCCGACCTAGATTAATTTCTTACAGCACAGAAAAGAAAAAAGATTTTAAGAAACTCGAGGAATATAATGAGTTTATCCTTTAAAACAATTGGTTTCACTACAAATCTACTTGAAGGGACTGAAGTCGTAGTTTAAAGTAACTCTCCTTGCTCAAATGGCAATGTCCGATTCACAATGGTACCATATATACCTATATCTAATCAATAATGTAGAAGATTTAGTATTTTTTTTTTGTTTAAAAGTGTCTAATTCTAATATTTCCCCTTTATTTTTTCCTGCAGTAAAATTGCTCAAGTCATTTTTTAAGAGACACCACAATTTAAAATAATCAGTTTATGAAATTATAAACATTGATACCAGATTGATCAGACATTGCTGGGTACCGTTGTAAATCAGGAATTATCATCTTTGCTTGAAAAATACGCTTACAGTCCCTTAAGTTCCACAGATACAAAATTTTCTGTCAAATAATTATTTTTTTGCTTCCTAGCAGAACTAAGTAAGAAGTATATATCCTATTGATACCAATTACCAATTAGAAAAGAAAAGCAAGTTAATTGAGCAAAATGTTTTGCAGAGCGCAAAAAATAAAGGGGGTTTTATTATGGTATCAAAACAGCAAAATAAAGAAAAAATAATAATAATGATAATTCAAAGGCAAGCTATCAAGCTAAAAAAAGATCCCAAATTGGTAAAAATAAAATATAATAATATAAAATATTCATGAGTTCCTGCAACTCTAGTGTATGTTTGTTCTTATATTCATGAGTTCCTGCAACTATAGTGTCTGTTTGTTCTAATATTCATGAGTTCCTGCAACTATAGTGTCCGTGTTGGATTTAAGATTCTTTAGAATTTGTAAATGCATTACTATTCAACTAGTAATCTTTATTAAAACAACAAAGCCTGTAGGAACAAAGGAGATCTCTAATTAAATATTTTAGGAAGAAAATTCATTAATGAGAATGAACCAGGGACATCAAACAATAATCTTAACACAAATAATGGATTTTTGTTTGGTTTGTGAGGACAAACATTGGTTTTCTTCAATCGACATATATAACCCCCTTTTTCGTGTAAATTGAGTAACAAATAGGAATTAAAAACTCACAAGTTCAAATTGGTTGCTTTAAGAAAACTCTTGAATTTTAGCATTTTTATTAAATAAATAGATAGATAAGCGTAATTCAATTAGGTAGGAATATTGTTTAGCATATCATACTTTTGAATGGAATTCAGCAAAGTTAAATGAATCTGTGGTGCCAAGTCGTCTTCATTTGATTGATTGAGTGTTCTGTATTTTGGCGGGAAACTTCGCCCTGCGGCGCCAGTATTGTTGAGAAAGCTGTAGATTATATAGAAGAGGAATACTAGGAAGCCAAGAAGCGCTAGCATTGCGTAAGGATCGACAGTCGGACTAAAACAAAAAATTAAATATTATCGAAATATTTTCAGAAATTTACACTTTTGGAAATAATTTAAATACAGTTAGTTAGCCGAATGCTATTGTCCAAAAATCGGATACTAGGAAATTCCTGAAGATTTTCCAAAGCCAGAGAAGATTTTTTTTACAAATGATATTTGCTTTCTTTTCTTTTCATCCTAATATTTTCCCTAATCTATGAAAAATTTTCTCTGTCAATGAAATATCTTATATTTAAAATGTTTTTCGGGTATTTTTTACAATTCACTCGAGCATTTTCATTCAACAAAAGTACTGTTAGTGGAAACTTTTAAATGGACAGAAAGGTTTCCACAGAGGAAAAAGTTGAATTTATAGTTCTTAAAAAATAAAGGAAGTACTCTTCATGTGTAATGCTTATTTTTTTAGTTTCGTCGTAGCAATGTACATAGGGAGCACTGTATTTACATTGTCCCTTGACTATGAAAAATCTAAGAAAAAAAATTTCGTTTCTAAAAAATCTTCCAAAGCTAAAAATAAGGTAATGGCTCACTCTCGACCAGACTGTGGGTTATATAGCGTACCGTTGTGAATCAGACAAGTAAATCTTTGAATGGGGGTTACTTAAAATTCCTTGACAGTATCTCTATAGGTTACCTGATAACATATTCTGGTTGTAGGATATTATACCCTTGGCCATGGTAACTCGGCTCATACTATATTTATTCAATAATAACCATAAATTCTGATTACGCAAGGTATAGGCTTTTCCGAATACATTTAATTTCGAAAATGTGATCAGATTTATCTCGATATCCCCTTTTGAACACTTTTGATTTTCTTTCTTTTTGAATATCCCTACTGGGTTCCGACAATTGAGAGATCTCTCATTGATTGCGCGAAATTTCCTGGTTTCTGATTGGCTGATTGGTTTCTTTAACCGACACTCTAATTGATTGCCTCAAGCATTGATCTTGATATCAACAAAACAAGAGGTTCCAGCTCAGTCCCCGAATCAATCCCTCAAATCTAAAGAGATAAGAGAAAGGTAAGATTGCTGGTACGGCTTTGTGAATTTGTGGCCCCTGTAGTTTTGATTTTACGCACAAAAAGTATAAAAACAAATCAATTTAACTTTGTTTATAAAGCTTTTCGGAATAAGGCGTTATTATTGAAGACACGTCAGATTTGTATCTAAAATATTTTTTTTTAAATAGAAGTACGATCTCACTTTGGGTAAATCTTTAAAGTGTTTTAACATATCTCTGCACGTGTGCGTTAAATTTAGGAATCAAGAAAAAATCGAAATCATGAAAATTCCCCGTGCAGAAAAAAGTGCGTGCGGAGATCCTTGCAAAATTTCTTAGAAAACTCGCTCAATCTGCTTCCTTTTGTCTGGACTTTTCAAAAAGTGGTAAAATTTAACAACAGACGAAACAAAGATTTAGTTTTATGTAAAATGAAAGCTAGTCTAAATAAGCCAAGGGGTTGCGTTTTATAGAAAATTCAAGGGGTGGTTCTACGCACCCCCCCCCCTTCAGCAGGAATAAAATATTGTTCGGTATGAATCAATTCGATGCAACTCTAACAACGAGTCTGAAGAGAATATTAAAGTTTCCAGCAGACAACTTTGATCGAATGAGCAATTTAAACTTGAAGCAAAAATATTTTGCACACTTGGTTTTTAAAGTTTGAAAGTAAAGTTTAACCTGAACTCTTCAACATGTGTTGGAACTTGTTTTAAAGTTTGCAATAGTGTAAATGTAATTAAATAGTTGTATCGGCAAAAAAGGTTTTGAAATAAAAGGGGAGCAAGAAACAAGTGAACTTTTTCATCTTAAGAAAGGGTTGTATGTGAAAAATTTATATAAAAATTGACGCACTAAATATGTTTTAGTAAAAAAATATGTCAAATGTGAAAAACATAAAAGGTCAGTAATGCATGAAAATGTATGTATCAGTGTTGATATAAGAAATGAAACATAAACATCACCAAAATACAATAAATGTGTCCCACAAAAAAAGTAAAGCTTTCTTCTCATAAGAAATATATAAAGTTCGAAAACTTATATTTGCAAAAGATCTTTTATTATTTTAGCAAGTATGTATATAATGACCAATGAAAATCACTCTTGTTGTAATTTTAGATTTCTCTTATTTTTCCTATTGTTTCTGAAGCAAGAATCTTTTACCAAATCTTACATATATAAGTTTTGGTATAATTTTGACACAGTTCATATTCATATTTTTATTCAACTACAAAGCAAGAGATAATACAAATAATAAACCACAATTTACTATGTAGTTTGAACCCGCCTAACCAGGGTTGGTTGTTTTGATTGGCTGGCCCATTATAAGCGAATAAGAATTGTAAATAAACAGATGGATGTACACTGTACAGTGTACATTTTAAACAGAACAATGATGATAAATCATGAATAAGGTAATAAGTTTTATATCAATTTCTCGAGACTGGAACATCAGATAGAACTCTTATATGTTTCAATCAACTCCTGAAATGCTCAGGGTTCAGCCTATACCCCCCTCCCCTTCATTTTTCCTTTACAGTTCCTTTAAGATGTACCCTTGTGTATCGAAATACCATTCTCTTAAATGGTATTTTTTTATTATTGAATTCCTGAGGTTTCCACGGACGTTCATATTCTGGTTCTTCCCATTTCTCCTCCCATCTTCCTGACGGGCTCATAGAGGTATCATAGGGGTTCACTAGAAGGTTGTTAATCGTTTTAAAAAACCATCCTTTTTCGTTTCGTTTCTGATTTTTCAAAACTAACTGACATTCGTTTTTAGAGAAAAAGAGTGGTTGTTAGCAGTCCTAACCAAAGAGTCGTAATTAACGATCGTAAAAATTAAAAAACGACCTTTGCTAGCAAAACAACGAAAAAAAATGAAAACTTCTGTTTTTAATTTTGTAAAACGATCCTTTTCCAAAACTATCGTTTCAAAAAGATTTTTTCGTTTTTCAGAAAAGTGAAAACGATCCATTCCTAGATCCACATAATCAGTATCAGGCCCAATGGTGTTTAAATAGCCTTCCAAGTTGTTCCTAGAATTCTGGTATGATCGGGTCAAGGTTCTAGAAGGTTCTTTTTGTGCGTTGAAAGGTTTAGAATGTATGTTTGAAGAAGAAGGCTCCATATCCAAATATCTATTCTGATTTGGAGAAAGTCGGTGAACTCCATGTTTTGAGTTTTTGTAAAAGTTTCTGTTGATGGGACGATTTGATTGCACTTTACTGTTGAGACTTTGAGTAGAAAAGAAGTCCTCAAATCTACTAGGAGTATGTTGGTAGGAGGAGTCCCTAAATCTACTAGGAGTATGTTGGTAGGAGGAGTCCTCAAATCTACTAGGAGTATGCTGGAAGGAGGAGTCCCTAAATCTACTAGGAGTATGTTGGAAGGAGGAGTCCCTAAATCTACTAGGAGTATGCTGGTAGGAGGAGTCCTTCAAACCATGGAAAAAGTTCCATTTTTGAGAAGTATCAAAGTAAGCGTCCTTGGATGGTCCAAAACTGAAATCTGTTGGATTTAAATAATCAAAATGATCTTTTTCGTGTCTTGGAGTCTTTGGATCAGTCGCTTTGACGCCATGAAATCCAAAGGGGAAGTCTTTTGAATCGTATCCACTTCCAGTATTGGACGGATCCTTCAGATATGAAAATGATTCTTTAGATTCAGAAGATGAGATGTCATCTGAAAAGAAAGTTTACATCAAAACTTATTTCTTCTTACAAAACTTTACGCTACCAATGAAAGTGTTTTCTTGCAAAGTTTTAAATTGTGAATAGAATCAAATTGGAAAAGAAAATGTCAGCTTGATAAAATTATTTGTCTAGAACTATCAATAATGAGGTGGATCCCATACTCAGTAAAGTCGGTCAAACCAACCTTAGTTTAGATTTATCAGTTGACCTTTTATACCTAGGACTAGTGTTGTTAATCGGTTTAATTCGTTTGTTTAATACCTTTATAAAACTTTTAAAATTTCTAAATTGGTTTAAATTAAAATTTGCTTTTGTAAAACCGAGAAATATTTTTATCTGAAAACTATCATTAAAAAGTATTCGTTTTAAGTCTTTTAGATCGTTGTAAAATCATTTTTGAATCGTTTTTGCCTATATTTTTTGTCTGGGTCCAAATTTTGCATATTGTAAGAAGATCAAATATTGAGAATTAAACTTTAAATAATAATTGCTTTTATTACATTATGCTAAAGGTTGACCCTAAAATTATAGGCAAAAAAACAACCAAAAACGAACCAACCAAATGTACCTGGAACAGAGGTTTGGAAGTCAGACTGAGTTGACCAGCCTAGGAATGCATCAGAATAGTCTGTGACCTGGATCCATGGGTTCGTCATCGTATCTCGATTTTCAAAAATTAAGAATCCGCCTCCCCCTCCCCCACCCCTCCTCCTCTTTCTAATGGAAGATTTTACGTAAATAAGTAAAATGGCACTCATGTTTTCTTTTATTCAAACCAAAAAGTTAGTTTTATAAATTATATAAATGAAGAAATGAGACTAAATACAGAATTTTATCTTGAAAAGACTTCCTTGAATTTATAATGTTTGCTTGTTCTTATATTCATGAGTTCCTGCAACTATCGTGTCTGTTTGTTCTTAAATTCATGAGTTCCTGCAACTATAGTGTCTGTTTGTTCTAATATTCATGAGTTCCTGTAACTCAAGTGTATGTTTGTTCTTATATTCATGAGTTCCTGCAACTATAGTGTCTGTTTGTTCTAATATTCATGGGTTCCTGCANTCCCGGGATATAATTGGACCCATCTGTGTAAACTCTATACAATTACAAGGTGTGAGGTAAAAGTAATTTTATAATTAGTTTTCCTCGTAAACCATATGTTAAAACTTGACTCAGTAGACTTGGATACGTTCTACTTTTTTTATTTAGTTCTTTCATCGTTCGTAAACGACTCATTTCTGTGGTTTTTTTAATCGTTCAAAAACATTTATTTCGTTCGTTCTCAAAATTTTTGTTCTTTTTCCATTTATTTCGTTCGTTTTCTCACTGAACGATTGTTCAGTAAAATTCTTTGTTCAGTAAAATTTTTTTATTCAGTAGAACTGTTCGTTTAATAAAATAGTTCGTACAATAAAAAAATATCGTTTTTCAAAGTTCGTTAAAATGGTTTTAAATTTTTTTCGTTTGTTTTGGTTCATTACTTTTAAAAAACGATAATCTATTCGTTAGTCCATCGTTTGTTTTTTTCTGAACGACCTCCTTTTTAACGAAAAATTTTGTTCTTTCAAAAAGACTACGCCCATCTCTACTACTCACATATTCTACACTGTGAAAAGGAAAGAGAAAACAAATTTAGCAAAAAAAAATAACTAAAAATGTAATTTTTTCATTAAACTAAAACAAAGACGACCTTCAAATGTTCAGGTGACCATTCATTTATGGAAAAGCATATCCGATTCACAATGTTTATCCATGAAGCTTGATCAGAGCTGGGAACTTTTAAATGGTGGATAGCGGGAATGCTTGATCTCCTTTTTTTCTTAATCTTCAGATAAAATAATGCTTGTTCTCCTCATATTATTAATCTTCAGATTAATTAACCGATAGGGATTAAGGATATCCCATTAAAGTTCCCAGCTCTGATCAAGAATGAATGAGATATTAAAATTCTTTCGTAGGGGTTTTCATGACAGTGGTGTAATTTTTGTTAGAATAGTATCACGTAATGTTAGTTTATAAAAATATCTATTTATCAACTTCTTATATATATCTAATATTATAAAGGCTGTGAAATTCTTATTTTCTGTGGTTTTTTTAATTGTCCGGGGGGGGGGTGAGGGGGTAGGGTAAAGTAGGAGTTTTTCAACACCTGGCCTAGTTAATATACATATATAGAGTGTTTCAATAAACTTTACATTTGAAAATCAATCTAAAAGGGTCTGTTAGCGTAATCCATGCAAAGATATAGCAATGACCAATTCCTTCCCCATGGTATCCTTGAGTATACGCGACTGCAATTAACTTTCCTTGCATCATAACCTTGGCTGAATGTGACAGCCAAAACGTATGTCAAGAATTGCAGGAGGTTTAGCTTTGTACATAATATTCTTAGATATTAGATAGCTACCGAATTTCAAACACATCAACTGTCATGTTTTGTGGGACACCCTGTACCCCAGCTGGCTAGAAAGGCGAAACGGGAGGTTAGTAAATATAAGCAACATACCATTAGTAGATCATATGTTTTTTTTTACTGTAAAATGCTAAATTTTAGAAAAACTTAAGTAATTTTGAAATAATAATCTTGATCCTGATCTTGATCCTGATCTTGATCCTGACCTTGATCCTGATCTTGATCCTGATCTTGATCCTGATCTTGATCCTGATCTTGATCCTGATCTTGATCCTGATCTTGATCCTGATCTTGATCCTGATTCAATATAAATGATGTTCCTGAAAATTCTGTGTTTTGAGATGTTTTAGCACAGTAGCACGGTCCCTAAAAATGAAGACAAATGACAACTTTGGAGAATTAGATAAAATCTTTTCCAAATTCAATTTTTAAAAAAAATATAAAAATTTGCGAAATTCTTTAGAAAAGAGAGCAACATTTTTGAAATTTTTTATACTTATGTAATTGTGTGTAATTCCAGGTATCAACAAAAATTCAGAAAATGTTCTGAATTTTGACGAAATAAGATAATTGACAAGATTATTAAGTAATAATAGTTTCTAAAAACAAGATAACAATATTTAAGATTATCTTCGTTGCTTTTATCAAATACATAACTTCATATTTTATTTCAAAAGAAAAAAATATTAATAAAAGTTTATTAAAAATATTCAAAAAGATAGATTTGATTGTACAATTACTGTGAAATTAACTATCTTTGAATATATTTTCTACAAAAACGTTTTCTTGTCTTACTTAAAAATATTTTAGTTTAAAAATAATATGAGAATTCCGAGCTCAAAATTTTTGAATTAGTTAATGGTAAGCTCTAAAAAATTTTGAGTGACTTTTTGAACTTTAGGATGAATAAGTTTTTCTTAATAGCTATGGTCAATTTTTAAATTTTTTACAAACTCCTAATTGATTCAATTTTAAATTATAAAATAGTTTTTATTTTAGATACAATATTATATACAAACCTTTGTGTTGGATGTACATGATTCGGATTATAATCCTGTTCAAATTCAATCTTCAAAAAATATTTCAAAACATTAAAGAATAAATTTAAGTAGCAAATAAATTCGGCTTTTTTGTATTTTGTTGAAGGTTTCCTGATGTTGATTAATCGATTGCTCAGCTACGACTGGATCAGTAACGTAAATATATCCTTTTCATTTCAAACTTATTTTTGTTTTTGTTCTCAACGGTTTGGAAAAAAATATTCATGATTTAATAATAATATGGATAATAATTCAATTCATTTTTGCTTTACTGACCCCCCCCCCCCTTTCCTTCATAATTATACTATTTCGTTTACAAAACATAACAAGAAATATATCCAAAATTTGATAAATTTAAAATGAAATAGAAATTGTTTTTACTTTTATATTGGATTTGAAAAATTGTCTATTTTGTGTCAATTTCTATCTGGTGTATATTGTATAAAAGCTATTATTACGTACTTCAATAAATTGATTCAATTACAACGGGTCATTTACTTTTTGCACAGGGTGTCCCAAAAATAAAAAATATGATTTCAAAATCAATGAATACATTAATGATTAAATATGTACAGCCAAAGGTTGAATTTTAATAAATATATATTTATGATTTTTTTGTGACATCCTTTTATCTGTGAGAGTTTAATGTAGAACTGATAAATAGGTAAAATGTGAAAATGGGAGGAAATAATTAATCAAACCTTTAATAACTATATATATATAAGAACTTGAAGATCACCCCCCCCCCTCCTCCAATTGTCAAGTATGAAAGAGCACGATGAAAATGTTATAGTTAATTTTTATATATTTATTTTTTACTCTCTGCAATGTAAAATTCTGGCCTTAAATACAAAAAAAATGTCCGGACAAAATGACTATAAAAAACTTCGATATGTTTTGAGATTGGTCTTTTTTAGATTACAGTGATAATTAGAAACCTGTGGAATGGGAAGACGACTTTTTTTACAAAATTTAGGAAGACGACATTATTGCAATACTTTTTGTATTTTATGAAGTTAAAAATCAATAGTTTAACTATTAACTTATCAAAATCACTTATTAAGTTTTACACTAAACAATTGCTGTGTCTTCGATCGGTTCAGCCGTTTTGACGTTTATTGGATACAAACAAACAAACAGACAAACAAACAGACAGACAAACAAGCCAAATTTATATATAGATATTCCAGTATTTCTGGCTTAAACTGAATCTTTAATACGCGTTTATTAAGCGACAATATTAAATGCAGGGAATAGGAATAAAGGGAAAGGAAATGGCGCTGCTCTGGTACGAGAAAGCCAGTTGCACTGTTTTTTAGATGAGTTTGCTATTCCTTACACACACACTCTTTACGTACAGACACACAACATGACTACAGTAAAGGAAATTGCAGAACAATGTTGTCAATTATAATTAAGCTTGAATAACAAGTAGTTTATTGTAAACTTTAATCAAATTATATTCTTTGCATGAAAATTTGCTTATAGTGTTGACTTAAATATGTAAATAATATATTACATGTATAATAAACTTATTTTTAAGTAATCAAATAACAATAAACAAATGTACTCTCCTAGACTGTACAAATACCGAGATTCTTATGTACTGAATATACCTAAAGTACACGCCTTTGCGCGGTTCGGTATTACTTACACACACTCTTTTGGTACAGACACACATAGATGACGTTTCCGCCCCCTGATCAAATGTCTTCCTTTATAGTCAAGACTATAGTTCTGCGTCGTTTTTTCAGTGTTTTAAACGTACAGGGTTACACACAAAGAATGAGACTGTAAAGACGTCTGTAACCTCTCATATAATGACCATCCCAAGTTTAAATTAAGTCTTCTAGCTTGAGAGTTTGTTGGCTTTAAATGGTTAATTTCCAAAGGTTCCAATAGTAGATTTTTTGTCAAAGAATTTTTGTGATTAAGGTTCGTTTAGCTTTTTAATTTATGGTTACTTATTTCTTTTATTTTACTTCCATTTATATTCCCTCTCTACTATTAGGAAGCTGAAATAAAGATAAAATGTTTAAATGTTTCAAACTGAATATGACAGAAAACACATAATTGTTTTATCTGATCTCCAGAATTACATTTATTTCAATTTCAAAAGTTTAAGTTTTAACTCAAAAGAGAAATAATACTAAATGTCAGATCAAAACGCATGAACCCGAACCGAATTGTCTCAAATTTTGATTTGGGAACTCGGTAAAACAATG